TMTRTKKTGTRWWMTCTMWWMTYYTSAATTYGCTCTAAAAWAAGATACATACYCCGTTKCCAGCACATTCYTTTCCGCTCACGTTTGGACATGATTTCTTTGATATAYTTTGACACTTGTAGTCAATACAAACCTGAATGTTTGAATACGGTAAGAGCTAGARTTAACATGCATCGAACAAGACCGACTCGATTAATTAAAAATTATATGATAAGAACTTTATATGTTAAGAATTTAAATTTATTACATCGATTTCATGTAATTGAAATTTACCTTGTTTGCAGTACACTTTGTTCCTTCTCGTACCATTCCAAGACCAACAAAGTCAGACTTCTTTAAAGACGCAACACTTMATAGGAAACACATAATTACTAAGATATTTCACATGTAATATCTAATTCTATATATAAATTCATACCTGCAATTTTTTCCTCCTGATATCTTGACTCTGTCGTACTTTGTACCGTAGTCCATCACTGGCTTATCSTTGTTCTTGTCAAAACAYTGCAGTTGACCGCAAAGAACATCTCTAAAAGAAACAATTTTCAATTTCAAAATTTCCATTGCCATTAATTTTATCTATTTTTAGACTCCAAATTAATTGGTAAGTTCACCAAACATTATCTAAGAACAATGAGTATCGTGACATGCGCTCAAAAAATAGTTTTTGTACTTCTGACTTCGCACATGCGCATCAGAATTGTCCTGCATATCTGTCAATGCTATTTACCCTGATAGGCCTGATATAGGGTGCCCCTACTTGGTAGGGCTAACTCTTTTGTTTTCTTTGCCCTGGAGGATTAAAACAAAGGATTTTGGCTCTACCACTAGGGGCACCCTATCTCATGTAAACATAGTCTCCTCCCAGCCGTGTTTAGCTTCAGTCACGCGTCACGCAACCTCTCTTGCGTGACGCGTGACTGAAACTAAACACGGCTGCGAAGAGACTATTGTAAACAGGGTCTTACTGTGGTTTACAGCTAGTAGCACGTGACGGATTGCACGTCCCATATTGCTTCCCTTCCTTGTTGAACTTRTCATAGCATGCCTTGTCAGCAGATTTGGCACCTGTTGATTAAAAGCAAATCTAGCGACATTGGTAGTTAATATATTTGGTAAACACACCATCTTACCTGGTCCCCACAGGTCGGCACATTGTGTGCTTCGAGTATCGGCACATTTTCCCATATAACAATATGACTACAAGACAGAAAACGCATGTATAGACTTATTAATTGCATTCCTGTGGAAGACCACGTCTTAAAATGCAAGCGGACTTTTCTCCGTCGTATTAAGCTTAAAATTGGTAGCGCCTGCGTTGCTGATGGTCTGCAGTCTTAGTTTCCATGGGAATGTCAAACTAAGCCAATCCGCGCTTATTTTCATTAGATATATATTTCATAACCTTGATTACAGGAATGGATTTGGGCAGTAAATATACATTGACTAGAGTAAAAGAATCAGGGTTTGGTTGTGCCATCACTATCTTCATTGAGAAAGTCTAGATCTAAGAACGACCAATTTAGGGACGATAGAAGAGTTACTATAGGGATGGGCTTAACATCGATAACAAACAAGGCTATCACTTACATTGAATCCTGAGCTGTCTGGCATCTCAGTATAGGCGTTCCAYCGCTGACCGTCCTGGCTGTAGTACACATAGTATCCTTGRACATAGTTCCAGAATAGCCCACCAATCAGTACTCCTGTTACTGTCATCGTCTGWKGGAATATAAATTACTTTGATATACCTTTTAACGACGAGCTAATCCATGTGGGATACGCTCAGTAATCAAATATGAGCATGCGTAGTAGGTAAATTACGATCTGATATAATACGTGCCGATATTCAACAACATTTACGTATTAATTCATCAATGCTATTCAGTCTCCGTTATCTTAGTGTACACCATCATGCAAACATTTCCTTAGTAAAGTAGATCATGTACCTTTGACAGATCTATTTGTAAATACTGATCTTTGCTTCCCTCTCCACACCACGAGTTGTTGGTTCCTGGTATTGGTCGAGCAAACCTGGGTCGATGATCTTYGTCAAGGAATGATGACGCTGTAATTTGTTGGTCTTGAATTTTGCCGCTGGCCATACCAAGTGGTAAAAGACAATCTGCAAAAGAATTCGTACTATATCAGCAGCCTTGGCTCTGGGTAAAAGGATTTCAACGTTGTTTTGAGGAGAGGTGAGCGTGCTATTGTCACCACAGGAAGCCCATCTTACCTTGCTTCATAAAATCTATTCGTAGTCTTTCTTTGTCACATTCTGGATAAAGGCACCATTTTGTCCCTTCTTGCCGAACACCATTAAACGGATGAACACACATTCCACTRGYAACATGCTTCAGAGAGCCCCCTGCACGCAAAGAAAATAGTGATTACAAGTTCTTATTCTGCTCAATATGGAGAGTTTTTCTTACGTTTTGTYCTTTCAAATTTTGCCTGTGAAWTTGAACACTTCTGACTGACAACCAAAAGTGTGTTAACTTCATTTTTATTATCTTGAGGACAAACAAGWGCAYTRCTGCACGCATGTCTTAACAGACCGTCCGCTGACAAAGTGAAMTCCATTTCTTTTTTCTCACAATCGGTTGTCTTGGTGAGGAGAAGGTTGGTTCCATCACGTGGTTTGCATCCACCATTTTGTAATTTGATGCAAAAYTCGCCTGAYGACAAAGGTGTTTCAGTCGCATTGGAAGCTTCTGTTAAGGRCRAAATTATCGCAAAATAATKTATTAGAAGCTAGAMGTGAGGCTAATAACAACGAGTTTRGAGGGCGAGAGTCCGAGGGGTAAAAATGGACTGTGAAAGTCTTTAAGTGATTTTTAAATACCTTCTTTGCCATCACAACCGTACAATTCAGYAGTAAGGCACTTCTTGTCATTCCAATGACTTGGATTGATGCGAATGTAACGCGAYGTGATGGGTGGGTTAAACACGTGCTTATAACTTTGACCATAGTACGGCACACCTTGAATTACCTGGACAATATACAATGATATAAGGTAAAACGTTTGGTTCGTTATGTGGSAAATTAAATCCTTGATAACGCTGACCTGTTTTTCGCTATTGCAGGAGTCTCCATTCCGTCTATAATCATCTTCAGGACACTGAAAGAAATCAAACTTAATTTATAAATTGGCGTTTCTACGTTCTGTTATCAATTCATTATCGACACAATTACCTCGCCGGAGGTTCCGCTACAGTATTCTACAACATCRCATTCTCCTTTGGGAGCTCGGCATATCTCACCTTCTGGTTTAAACTGTAGGAATATAGAAAGAAAGAAAATAAAGTTTCTGGAGAAATTAACTTGTACAATCATGCTGTATCTTTAACTACTTTTTATTAAGTAATTTTCTTCCTTGGATTTCAACCACATGACCAGGAATCTCCTGAGAAATAAAGAACAAAGCTATCGCCGCCATGTTGGATGAATGAACAAGATACGATAATGAGGGTTTGATGACAGCTTACCAAACATTGCTTACAACATGGATGATTGAAGTCGCTGCATTGACTTCCTTTCTTTAGTTTGCATCCCTTGGTTTCACAGCACGAATCCTTYTCCTTRCAATTCTGATGTGAAAACAGTCGAAAWTATCAACAGTTTGATCACCGTGAAAATTAAAACCAGACAATCATTACCTGTTCATTCCCACAATCACATTCTTCGCCTTCCTCAACAACTCCATTTCCACATTTTGGCTTGAGCTCCTAAATACGTGAAACAATATTTATAATGCATATATGTTGGTATACAATTGCTCTAGTTCATTACGATGTCGCATCAAACATTCTATTGCTTTAACGCTAAGTATTATGGTCGCCAGAAGGGATCAGAGTGACTACATTTCAAATAAAATGTACATGAACAATCATTTATACATGACATATATCAAAACACGATTCATTGAAGTTCTACTTTAGTAGACAATATAAATGGGTCCAAATTTCCACTGTTTTTGAGCATCGTGTTCCGATGTAAACATACTGTGACGTCATAATGAAATCGGGCAATTCAATTCCGGTTTTATTGCTCGATTGTTTCGTACAGCTTGTTGCTTAGTTGTAGGTGTTAGATAATTGGTTTGTTTAACTAGTGGCATGTTTCGGTGGCGTTTTTGTTTTATAAGCGAGTTATTTTGTAGGTTGTGAATTGTTGTTTTACCTTGGACGGTACATTATAAAGACAAAAGTCGTCCTGTTTTTGCAAAGCCTCAAGACTGCAATCAGAAAACCCTGCGATTCGTGTCCTGTAGAATGCACATCAAGTTAATAGAGCGGATTTCGTATGAGTGGGACACCGTTACCGCACGGTTACCGCACAGTTACCGGAACTGGCCTTCACAATTTTGGTGAGCCAATGGGGCACTAGAATTTGGTTACAGTACGATTACGGTCACAGTACAGTACCGTCCGTGTCCCACTCATACGAAATCCGCTCTATTGTAAAAACACATCATTTATTCCATCAAAGTGGCAAATAACGWGTCCCAGTAGGGAGGGAGCAATGATTTTGAGCTACTTCTTCCTACATTACACATTCCATATAACTCACTTGTGTCCACCCATGATGCACCCACGAGGCGTCAAGCAGGTACAGTGACCAATTTCTGAAATCATAAACAAGACTTGTTATTATTGTTTCAATCATGTAGTAATTTAATAAGTGAAATCATATGAATCTATATAAGCATACATGTATTAAATCGTATAATTATGCCATCAAATGAAGACATTCTCAATTGYGTGGTTATATTTGTGTGGTAAAACCAGACATCACCTTCGTCGTGGTCCATGCCAAAGTTATGACCCATTTCATGTGCAGATGCAATCCAAGGACCAACGATAGAAACGGGATTCCACTGAAAAAAGGTGTTTTATATAATAAATGACTGCTTACAACTTGGMTTAATATGATTAATACTAGCACTAACAGTATTAGTTTCCAACGATAACGATAATGATAACGATAATGATAACAACGATAATGATGACGACGACGACGATGATGATGATGATGACGACGATGACGATGATGATGATAATGACGTGTTTGTTGTCAAGTGAATACGGAATCTTACCGCTACAATGGAGGAAGAGGTATCTTTACACATTGCGAAGAGTTGAGCAAGACCAGCAGCATCATCCCAACCATCTTTGCTAAATTAAACCACAATGACATTGAAAAGAGATTTTACTATTTTCAATACGTTTTCATGATACCATTTGTGAGTGTCTTGCATTTTATTGACACCAAAAAAATACACAAAGAAATGTACGACAAGGAAAAGGAAGTAGTATAATTATTTACCATATAAGTTGGGCGTTATCATGGCCTTTAAACTTGGTCCTTAGAACATCCCTTCGGTATATTTCAAAGTCTTTCAGTAGAGGTCCAGCAACTGTGCTTTTACGAGGTACTTTGTCTTTGTTGCTCCAGATTTCGACTCCAACCAAAACGACTCGAATATTAATGCGGCTATATATCTAGAAAGAAGTACAGCAACATTAACAATTGTACTGCTTTACATGCACTGATCATTCTGAGTGGTTTTTGAAGGTATACAGTACATATACATCAATTAATTACCGTGTCAACAGCGTTGGACAGGATGATCATGCGATCTGTAGTATTCTCAATGCTGCTTCCAAAGTTTTTGTACTGAAAAAGAAAAGCGAGTCAGAAATGTTTGTTTTGGTCTTTCCTGATGTATCCTTTCCTCTTTATTCCTCTCGTCCTCCCTTCTAACCTCATCTCTCCCTTATTTCCTTCAGCCTTCCTTCCCTCCTTTGCTTATGTCATGAGGAAACTATTGTGTATACTTGTACCTACCAATGCGTTGTCGGAAACAAGAACGAGCTCCACATATCTGGTTTCTTCCACAGTTAAATATTTTCGGTAAAACTCATCGATCTCCCTTCGTCGCTGTAAAGACATCATATTTACCATGAGCCAGTATTACATCATTGTTGTTACAAGAGAAGACTGTTATCCATTTACCCTGATTGACGTCTGTTTGCCAATTCTTTGTGTAGTGTTTCTGTAATTGCCTGCAATAGACTTGTGGCCTGCAGGTACAAATACAATGTATAGACTTCACTACTTCTCCTTTCTTTTCCACTCTAAGCCAGCCGTTGTCTCTCCTAGATATCTTCTTTCTTTCTTCCCTCCTTTCTTTTCCACTCTAAGCCAGCCGTTGTCTCTCCTAGATATCTTCCTTCTTTCTTCCCTCCTTCTCTCCTTTACTTTCCTTCGCATCCCGCCTTTTTCAAAACATGGCTTCTTAAAGTACTTACCGCAATGCCGATGATTGTCTGTTTCTTGTTTGACTTCGTAGACTTTATGCGCGCCATCTTTCTACGGAMAACAGTCAGGAGAATAAACAATAGTTTGGCTGTGCATTAAAGAGTATAGAAAACTAAAAATACTATACACACTTTATGTGGATATGGCTCAATATAGATTCGTTTTGATCCATCATCTATGTACCCTCTAAAAAAATAAGACAAGTTGAATGAAAGGAAATGAAATTGAATGGGAGGGAAATGAAACATTACCTTAGTCCTTTACACATGCTGAGTGCAACCATGGAGTCACTTGAACCGACCACTTTTCCTTGATAGTGACATTGCTCTGGGGTAATCTAATAATGGAAAAATATGGAATTGGCAATAGTCTCCTTCACGGTTCCCTGCGCCATCTTGAAAAGTAGCCGTGCCTTGTCATTGAAGCGAGACAACCGTTGAGCGTGCAAAGATAGATACCTGTGAATAATTTTCGGTAGGTGTAAAAGAAGGTTTCTATCATTACAAGCTCAACGGTCGTCTCGCTTCGATGACAAGGCACGGCTAACTTTCAAGATGGCGCAGGGAACCGCGAAGAAGACTATTATACCGGCAGTTGGTGCAGCAGTGGCAATTACCAGTGCAATACCGCGATAAAAATAGTGGCAATTGCAATGACAATGAACACAAGGAGAATCTCTCTGGTTTAACATTTCTTATAATATTTCTTACCGATTTTACAACTTCGTTACCATCGTTATCAAAATAGCGGAGCTTCATTTGAGGAGCGATTGAAATCCTTAAATTAAAACATCAGAATCTCGTCAAGTTTGTAGCTGKAGCAACTAAAGTGCTTAKCTTACCATGACTTAGCACTCTCAGTTTATGTACTGTGCATTGCGAATATCACATGAATAAATAWAAACAATGATTCTCTTACTTGTTCTTAGTGAGACTCAACACATGCTTTTTACCAAAGGCATTCACTTCGAGTTCAGCTTGCTCATCGTGGTGACCCTGGAAAAGCAACAGTTAAATATATCATTCTGCGGTGGTCGTACTGTACGGTTATTGTGCCACTTCATAATGATTTAAGGCTTTGAATAAAACTTAGCTCCTCGGAATAAAACTTGTGTCACTGGTACAGGAATATGCATGGGGATAAATCACTGAAATCCCGGCACATGGTCCACCAGCATTCAATGCGGTTGTGTTTTAGATTTTCAATGTATGGAAAATGAGGTGACTTCGAATATCCATTCGCAATCCGTTTCCATCCACCGGATTAAAGGTCGAACCTTACAGTATCTCTATTCATATAGTATAAAGGGATGATAAAGAGCAAGTTTTTGCTTATATTACGATGTGTTTTTATTTTCAAACATGAGCAAAAGCTCGAAATGGATGCTGGTGGACCATGTCCCTTTAATAGTTGTTGATAATATTGCTTTTGGCTCCTCCTCCATACCTTGTGGCCAGTGAACATGTTGTCAATTATGTTACTTCTTTTTCCATCAGAGTCTAGTCTTGTGGGATATATAACTTCATATTTATTCCAGTTKATCTTGTCCTCGTTGATCAAATATGCTGAATTGCAAATAATTTATATTTCAATAGCAGACTTGCGAATTTTGCCTCGGTGGTCACACACAAAGGAATCAAGACGTTGCGCCATACATAAAGCTAGTCATTCGTGAAAAGACAATATGGTCATCCACAATTGACTGAGCTTTACGCACGGCGCCTCGTCTTGATTCTTTTGTGTTTGACTACTGAGGCGAAATTTGCAAATCGGCTATTCATAGTGAACAGTCGCGTTCTTGTATACATGTTTACAAGTGAAAAATCACTGTTGCTTTTACCTTGAACGCTTTGCACGAAACAGATTAGAATCAACATTGACCAAACACACATAGTGAGACAGCTGGAACAAAATGATAAATGGATGGGATCAATGAATAAATGTAAAATMKYG